GAGGGTTTTAGTTTTTGAGTGGTTCTTTTTGCGTGCCCGGGAGGGTGAGAGAGGTGTGGAGGTGGGCGGCGGTGCTGGGGCTGGGGGAGCTCCGCGCTACCTCGGGAGGGAGGCTTGGGGGGCTTAGATTGCCTCTTCCACATCATCCATTACCGACTGCAGCCTTCCCGGGAGACGGGAAGCATCTCTCGGCGTTGTGTGCCAGGAGCTGGGCCTGCCCGTCCCTCCCGATGTGTCTGCTTAGTGTCCGGCTTCGTCTGCGCTAATTGACAGCAAAATTAAGCCCCACTTGCAGTTTGGTACTTGGCGCTGGGTGAGGAATTCTCCACCCGGAAAGCTGCGAGTGGACTGGGATCTATGCTTCCCGTCTCTGTTTGGTTATTGAAAACTAGCAAGGCATGGAAAAGAGCTGTGTAATGATGGCTGGGGAAATGAGATTAGTCTCTTTCTCGAAGGAACAGCCTCGATAGAGCAGTGCCAACGCTTCTTTCTGGGCTTAAGATGGGACCAAAGCCATGGGAGAGCTGGGTGTCTGTTTGTGTGTGTCGGTGTGGTAGGCTGAAATGCTCTGAGGGTAACAAGAACTGGCAGCGTAACCTATTTCTGTGTGAACTATAAAATCCCCTATGTAAAATGGAATCGGTGGACGTAGCTGATCCAGATTTCCTTCTCCTTTTGCCTTTGGGTAAAAGTCAAGCTGCTTAAGAGGGCTTTCTGGTGTGCCCACCCTTGCCTTTGCTATTCAGTTAAACGTAAGCAGAGAGAATTTAGGTCCAACAAAGTCTGTGTTTAAGCTGCCCCTTTCTCGGAGCCTTCCAAAACTGCTGTTGACCCCATTGCCTGTCAGCAGCCTCTGTTGCAGGTATTAAGTTCAGCTAGGATGGCAGCCAAGCAGTTGCCACTGCAACTAATGTCGTCAGAGAACAGTGTTTATCTGTGGCTGCCTGAAGCCTGATTTTGAACACGCCGTATGCAATAATCTCAATGATTTGTCCCATTTTTGTTCCTCCTACTCCAGGGAGTTCTGAATAACATCACAGGTGAACAAACCTGTTCCAGCTGAACCCTTAAGCCAAACCTCTCTGTGCTCGCTAGGCTGGCGGTTGCTCTCACTCCCTCCCAGTATCTCTTGTGCTGCTGGTTAATCTTAAAAAGTATTTTAATGAGCCGCTGTCTTTGCCCTTGAAGTGTTAATGCTGGTCTGTGAGAGCGTGGCTTGGGCTGTGGGATGTGAAGCCAGGGCAGCTCTGGGGTTCTTGGCCGTGCAGTCAGGTGAAGGCTTGGCATACTCCTGGCCTTACTTCTGCTTGATTCACCTCCCGCTCAGGGCCGTGATTCACGCGAGTCGCAGTCCCACAGTGGGCCCGCAGAAGGGCACGGGGACGTATCTCGTGCACACAAACTGGCCTCCTGGAGGGCTGAGTGATGTCATTGCTGTGTGACAGGACAGGTCGTGTGTCTCTGTGTTAACACAGCAGCACTGAGCCGGGCGGGAGGGTGCTGGGCTGAGCTCTTCCTCCCCCGTGAGCAGCACCTCTCCCGGGGCAGGTGTCTGGCCGAGCTGTGACACGACACTGCATCTTCTCTCTGAGTTGTGTTTGTAAGGTGGGGTTGGGCTGGAAGGCCCTGTCCTGCTGCAGAGACCCAGAGAGGTTAAAACTGAGCTCAGTGAATCTGAAAGCAGGCGGGGTATAAGCAGATGCAAGCGCCTCCGAAAGCCACTGCGCCTGTTTGCTTTGGCCTCGACGTGTACTTTAGCCTGGTTTACAATATCTGGGCTATTAATATTTATGTCTGAGGAGGGCTGAACTTTATCCTGAGCGCTGGCACAGAGAGCAGTGACATGTTTGGCTACATGAGAACCTACCACCAGGTTCTGCAGCGACGGGTGCGGCACAGTCAAAATAGAAAACTGTGGTTGGGTAACACTAGAACACACGGCGTGAGCTGGGGCTGCTCCTGGCTCTCCAGTAATTGTTGACAACTTCCTCTTTGGGGATCGTGCAGAAATAGTACAGGATATTTAGTCACTGGCTTGGGTGGTGTCATTTGGTGGCATAAATTTGTGAGGCTGCTTTAGTGGGCAGAAGATGAAGGGTGGGGGGAGGACGCTGTCTCCTTTAGCACTTTCTAGGAGTCCCAGGTGGGACTTGTCACCGTGGGTTAAAGAGCAGAGTGTCACCTTGTCAAAGGAGAGGTTTTACTGGTGACAGTGGTGTGGTTCTTTGAAGCCTGCTCTGCCTGAATTTGGCTTTGTGGCTTTTATAGACACGCAGTCCTTCTCCTCAGTGGTGGGGAAACCAGGTAATAACAGCACTCAGCGTGGATATTTGAACAGACTTTATATTTTTACTCTCTTGCAGAGCAAAGAGTGGAAGATGTACGACTGATTCGAGAGCAGCATCCAACTAAAATACCTGTAAGTCTGATTCTTTCCATCTTTCACTTCAGCTTCTAGTCTCACAGTCTTTTTAGGAGTTAGGGAACTGTGAAAGAGCTAACCTGATGAGACCAAAGGAAAATTTGGCCATTTAGGGTGGTTAAGGCTGGATTTCAGAAACGTTCTCAGGCTGGTGTCACCATCAGACAGTGTGGCAGAGCAAGGTGCTAGCTGGGGACTGGAGGAAATGGGATTTCATGTGTTCTGAAGCTGCATGTTGTAACTTCAAAGAAAAACTCACCCCAGCTGAGCCCTGAGATTCTCCTGAGCATTCAGCTCTCCTCATCTCAGTGTTTTTCTTCTCCAAAAGAAGAGTCTGCAGAGGTCAACCAAGACTACACAGCAGTGTGGAGACAGATAAGGCTTTCCTCACCGAACAGTGCTGAGAAAGAGAGAGACTTCTGGGAAACAGGCCTGAGCTTGAGGTCTCCAGAGATGCTGCTTGCCTGTCACACCCCTCCACCTCACCTCACATTGGGGATCAGCCCTTGCCTCGTTGCTCTTCTTTAGCTGCTCAGCTCCAAATGCTGCCTGAATTCTGATTTTCTTCTCTTTCTGCACCCTCAGGGTTACAAAAGCAGAGAAAGGCAGCCCGGGAAGCCAAAGGCAGGGCTCCTGTTTGGTTGCTGCTGAGTTCTTTGCAGCTGGTGGGCTTTGTGTGATGGCTGTCACTGCAGTAAGCCATAAGTGCAGGTGTCCTCACAGCCATTTGGTGGGACAGGGAAGGTCTCGGGAGATTTTGGGGGGTGGAAGGGAGAATTTAATCAGACCTCTCAGCCTCTGGTTCTGGGTGTGAGGATCCCTGCGAGGGGAAATTCTGCTGAGAACAACCTGTTGGCAAACTGTCTGCAGTCCCAGTGTGAGCTCAGAGGCAGTGACAGAAGCTGTTGTTGCCTCCATGTCAAAAGGAAACCGAAAGGTTTTCAGCTTTCCTTTGGCTTTCAAGTGCTTCTCCTCAAAGCCGCTGCCGCTCTTGCACCACGCCGTTGGGCGTGGGAACAAATAGCATTTGACAGCAGAGCTTTTCTGACTTTTCTGGAACGTGCAGCTTTCCCAAAAGGCCCTTTCCTAAGAAATCTGTTTCCTGACAGAAGATTGCTTCTCCTCCCACCTCCCCAGATCACTTCCCCCTAGTCCCCAGGCTCCCTGACCACAGATTGAAAGCCATCGATTGAGAGCAGAGCTCTCATTTTAAGCCAGCCACGGGCACCTCCCTAGCAGGAGTTCTGAGGTACCTAAGCAGCTTGCTGAAGAGGCAGTGATGCAAACTCCCAGCCATGGCAGGGGCCTGCTGCGGGCCCTGGGGGCTTCCTCTGCTTGCTGCCCATGCCCAGGCTCCAGTTGCTGCCTCATTATTATCATCAGCAGCTGGGGATGAGATAAGATGGCAGTGTCATGCTAGATGGTGAATCCCTCCCGTGCTGTCAACAGCCTTCATTCTGCTCTTGGAAATAATTATCTGTTGGCTATGGTCTAGCTTTATAAAAACAGTGTTAGGTTGATTTTTTTCCCCAGAATGAGACAGTGCTGATTTAAACTGGTGTAAGGAAATCTTCCTCTGACAGAATTCACTTGGCTCAAGCAGTTTTCACTAGAGTTTCTCCAATTTCAGGCCATGGTATCTCTTCACCTGGGTGAATATCAACACAGCCAGACCCCGTGAGAGTGGAAGTGATCCAAGGGAATGGTGTCACGTAGCTGCTGCTGAGTTAAAAACAACTAACCCCACGTGGCTGTGGAAATGGGAGGGCAGGAATTCTGAGAGCATTTCTGAAAAGCAGGAACCCTGTATGGTTGCTGGGCAGGGTGCTACTGAAATGGGCCCATCTGCAATTTCCTTGGGAAGGATGGAGTTACTGCCTACCAGTCTTGGCGGAATTACTGGTTCCTGAGCACGTCTAGAGATTAAGGAGGAGATGATTAAGGAACAGCAATGGTTCCTCTTCAGGTTCAGGATCCCCACAAATGGGGGGAGATGGATTTTCACATAAACCCTTGTCCTTGGCTGTGGTTAAAATGGAGGGGGGAGATGAGGGCACTGAGCAGCACTTCTGCCTTCCACATCACCTCCTCTCTCTTCCTGTTTCCTCTCAGGTGATCATCGAAAGGTACAAGGGAGAGAAGCAGCTTCCAGTTTTGGATAAGACCAAGTTCCTGGTGCCAGATCACGTCAACATGAGTGAGCTCATCAAAATCATCAGGTAGTATTGCTGTGGTTTCAGTGTGAGCTGCATCAACCCCAGACTATGATTCTTTGGTAATTCCCCATCTGGTGTATGCAGTTGGGAACTCCTTAAATGGAAAATTCATCTGACAAGTGCTGAGTGGCTTCACTAGGACGAGTATGTGAGAAAGTGTTTTTCCCTTGGCTTTGCTGGAAAAAGAATCTCTGAAAAGAGCTGAGCTGTTAGTCTGCTTTTGAGAAAAGTGGCTGGTTCCTGGAAATGTAGGAGGCAGCCTGGGGCCACGGATCCCTGCCTAACATGGGTGCTTCTGGCCCAGGGCTCCAGCACTTCCCGCTGGGCTATTTTAGGATGTCTTCTCAGTTTCTGCCTGGGAGTCCTCTGCGAGGTGTCCACCCACTGCAGGGGGAGTTTGGGCTCACAGCCAGAGCTCTGAGCTGTCGCCTGGGGGTTGATGTTGGCATCCTTTGATTGTGAAATGAGGTTTCCCTCAGCGAGACCTGAAAAACACCCACTCAGACCAGTGTCTTTTTGTCCCACAGTCTGTGGTGTGAGCCCTGCTCTGCTCCACTGCTGGAGCTCCACTCCCAAGAGAAGGCGAAGGGGAAGTAGCCATGGAGTGGAAGTTGTGTGGTCTAAAGCTGTGGTCAGAAGTTCTGCTAGAAGTACTTTTCTCCTGGCTTGGGAGGGATAGCTGATGAGTCAGAGTTCTCAGGCGGTAGCCTTGGAGGTTAGCAGCAAACCAGAGTTGGCTTTTTGTTGGTCACAGTGTGGCAGGGAGCTGGTTTGTGGAGGCCAGTAAAAGCTGAGAGTTGTCCCACAAGTCCAAACGATTCCCTGCCTCCCAGCCTTCTACAAAAACTCGTAAGCAAATCCCAGCTCCTGCCTGAGAAGGAAAGTGGGATGAGGTTTTGGAAGCAGGAACCAGATTGCTTAAGTCCTTCAGAATTTCTCATGAGGATTAAAGGCCTTTAGCAAAAAAAATATGGTTCATGCCAAGCTGAAGGATCTTCTCCACCTTTTTTCTTTGACTTCATCATTGCCTTAGTACCAGCTGGGCTGGGTCCTCGGCCAGCTCCTCTAGTGTGTGGCAGGGCCTGTCCTTCCCAGCCCTCAGAGAGCAGCAGTTGTCTCTCAGCCTGCTGTCTCTGGAGCTATTAGAGCTTGGTTTTGGAAGGGTCTGTTCTGGTTTTGGAGGGTCTTCTGGTCTGTTCTTCCCTTCAGTCTCCGGTTGCATCTCCACATACCCGAGTTCCTCTTGCATGCTTGGCTGATGAGGTGGTAAGAGAGCTCCTCTCTGCAAACCTGCTTTCCAGTAGGCAGTTTTTTTACCTATTTCCTCCCAGCTGGAATGACTGATCCAAGGGAAAGTCCGAAGTTAGATGTTTACTGTGCCCCAGAGCCTCCGAAGCCTGTCGGGGAGGTGAAGAGGGGGCGGGAGGCTCCAAAGGTTAAACGCAGCTGTCACAGGCTGGCGACAGAGCGAGTTGGGAAGGTCCAAGGTCGTGCTGTGGACGCTCTGTGTGTCCCCCCTGCCCGTCCTCACACGGGTCTCTGGGGGCCAGCCTGGGTGGACGTTTCCAGCGGATGCTGTCAAGCCCCAGGGCAGAGGTCCCGTGGGCCTGCTGCTGTTCAGGGGCCGTCCCGGGGAGAGCCTCTTCCTGCCAGCTGCGCTCTGCTGCCCTTCTGGAGCGTGGGTTTCCAGCAGCTTCTGCCACATCTGCAGAACCTGCATCATTCCCGACTTAGGGGATGAACCTAACACATTTTGAGGTGGGAAGCAAATGCCTTCTTGGGTGGCAGGGCCGCTTTGGGCGGGGATGGCCGAGTGCAGCCAGCGGCGGGGGCCTCTGTGGGTGGCGACGTGCGCTCGTCACCATCAACCTCCTTCCCCCCACCTCCCCCCCCAGGCGACGCCTGCAGCTGAACTCCAACCAGGCCTTCTTCCTGCTGGTGAACGGGCACAGCATGGTGAGCGTCTCCACGCCCATCTCCGAGGTGTACGAGAGCGAGAAGGACGAGGACGGCTTCCTCTACATGGTGTACGCCTCGCAGGAGACCTTCGGCGCGAGACCTTCCCTCTAAGGAGGCTTCTAGCCTAGGATTTGGGTTCTCCCTCTGGCCATCACCCCCCGCCCTGCCCCAGGCCCCCCCGGGAAGGAAACGGATGTCACCTCCGCCCTCGGTTCCTTAGCATAGTCTTGCTTTAGCGGGCGCCTCGTCTTGCCTCGCCTCGGCCGCGACTATCACGCAGCACAGACGAGCACCTCCAGCTTTGAAACCCGCTCTCCTGTTCCACCCAGGCACATCCACATTTCTGGACTCTCCGAAAGGAATCCAACTGTGCATGTGTGACGCGTTGCAAAGAAAGGGACACTCGACTGACTTCTTTTAACAAGCAAACAGGCACCAGGGAGGAGCTGAAGTGGTTTGTGTGACAGTTTTCTGGAAAATCTCCCTATGATTCCTTAAAAAAAAAAAAATTGGAAAGGCTTCTCATGAGAGCAAATCTGTTTTAATGTCCCAAAGTGGAGCCTTGTTTTCTGCAGCTCGGTGAGACCCGTGTCAGTGCTGCAGTCAGTGCTCGGGGTGAGCTGGGGGAGTACAACTCTTTTTGTCTCTGTTTTATTCTCTTTTTTTGTGGCACCACCACCTTAGGAACGGTGCCGGTTTCTGAAATATTCATACCAAACACCACAGCTTTATTGTAGTTTTAGGAAGTGTTGAACTGTAAAAATACACACCCGGAGAGGTAACACTGAAATAGACCCAGCCTGTCGGTGACTTTCCAAGCCCTGTGTGAAACACTGTTGTTCCCGTGAGCTCCGCTGGAGGGACTCACCCCCCCTCACCCCCAGCCGCTGGGTGTTGCACCTTACCACCGAGGGGGGCCGGGGAGAAGCGGCTCAGCTCCGGGAGCTGCTGTCGAGAGCTGATGAACAAAAGGTTTCCACCCACCCCCCCAACCCTCCACGGCTGAAATCTCCTGCCGCTGGCGTGGGGTTTGGAAGATCTCGGTGTTCCTGCAGCCTGTGCAGAGGAAAGGTGTGGTGGGAGCTGTGTTTTTTTCTCCTCTAGAGTCGTTGTGAAGCGTAGCAGGATGAGATTACTCGTTGTCTGTTGTGTCTGTGAACTAACTCCATCTGTTACTGGAAGCTGACTTACTGTATCGGGGGAAGAAGAAGCAATACTACTGCGTCTTGGCACTCGAGCTCAGTACAGTGTCCAATTTGTACCTCCCTGCACCCCTCTGCATGCACCTCCTTCACAACGCTTACTCCTGAGGCTTTGGTTTTTTTACCATTCTTTGTGTTTTTACTCCCAACGTTAAAACTTCGAAACGCGGCTCGTTCCCATGTTTAGTTTTTGTTCGTGTAAGAAATTGTTCGGACTCATAACTGACAACCCTACTTGTAATTACCACGTGATGGATATTCCTGTACAAATGTTTTGCTTTTTTTAAAATTAATACAGTGCTGATATGGATGGATTACATCCCAGCTTGACGACGGCTTCTTTCTGGAGGCGGATCTCTGCGGGGAAGGGCACACGGGGCGGGGGGGGGCTGGGGCACCTGCCTCAGGGCACACAAGGTGGTGAGCCAGGTCCTGCTGGTTTTTGGGTTTGTTCAGCCTGGGGAGGTACAGGCTCCAGGGAGACCCGATTGTGCCCCTTTCAGTGCTTCAAGGAGCCTGTCAGAAAGCTGGGGACAGACTTTTGAGCAGGGCCTGTTGGGACAGGACAAGGGGGGATGGTTGGAAACTCCAAGAGGGAGATTTAGACTAGAAAGAAGTGAGACACTTTTTACACTGAGGGAGGTGAGCCCCTGGCCCAGGCTGCCCAGAGAGGTGGTCGCTGCCCCATCCCTGGAACACTCCATCCCTGGAACCATTCCAGGTGAGGTTGGATGATGCTCTGAGCAACCTGCTCTAGCTGCAGATGTCCCTGCTCCCTGCAGTGGGGTAGGACTAGATGTCCTTGCAAGGTCCCTTCCTACCCAAACCCATCTGTGATCCCAATTCTCTCCCTGTTTTACTTCTGCTCCTGCCCCACCAACAGATGAAGCCCCTTTAAACGAAAGGAAAATCCAAACAGGATTCTGTTTAACTCTTTATTTTCCATACATTAAATTTACTCAGATAAAAACATTCTAAAAATGTACAATTTTACTTTTAACAAAGTATAATAAAACATAAAAATCCCAATACCAGAATACTTGACATTTACAGTTCAAAATCAAATTAGCTGAATATTAAATATTTACAAAACTATTTAAAATATTTATAAAGTTACATGCACAATTTGTAATACTAGAATTGACCGAAGTAAAAGAAATGGCTCAAATGGGAGCAGGAGTTTCCTTCATTCCTACTGGAAAGTTATGTCCAAGAGAAGCTGTTAATCTGCACTTGAAAACACACAGGATTTTGCTTTCTGCTTCAGTACCAACACGTTTCTTGCTGATGGAAGAAAAATTTCAGAGAGGAAACGGGTGGTTCCAAGGGGTTTCTCACACGAGATGGGGGTGGGTGTGTCACCGGGGCCTCCGCAGCGTTGTGTTCTGGGCTCTGTGGGTCCCTGATCCAGATTCACCCACCTCCTCCTCACCTCACAGGCGTCCCAGACCACCCCAAATCCACAGCCCCACGTGCCCGTGACCTCCAGTGAGCACCCAGGTGTCTCTCCTGCGTGCAGGGGGTCAGATGATGGTGGTTGTAGTTTGGGGAGAGGCGAGCGGTGCTCTGCCAAATACCGCAGGCTACGCTGGACTTTTAGTACCTTCACCCTGAAGCTTGCCAGCGAGGGAGAGCATGAAACAGAATTTAGGGTAAAGGTCTAGTGCCAGACCTTTCTTTTCAGAAGTCTGGCGCTTAATTTGCCAACATTTAATGACAGTGGTGTGAAAAAGCTTCACAAAAAGTGGCATGTGAGGTGTTATTTTAGGGAAAAGTTATTGTGGGACTCTGACCAATACCTCACTTGCTAAAATGAGGCTTCCCTCTGCTCTCCTGCTGCTCAGTGTCAAGCCCAGCCTATTTATTAATCCTTAATTTACAGCCTGCCAGTGCGAGGAGGAGCTTCCTGGAAATCCCATCCCACGTTGAGCGTTCTCATGGTCAACACTCCCAAAGGGAAAACGCTCCCGGAAGGGCCCCGCGTGTCGCTCGCTCCCACGGGAAGGCTCCTCGCTAACTTCTCCGTGCCCCTGCAGGGAGATCCCTTGGGATCCCCTCCCGTCCTATGCTTGAAAATCATTCCTATTCCACAGTGAAATCCTTTTTGAGAACTAATTCTTGTTACACTTTCAGGACAAAGACAGGAATAAATAGCGTTCTTTGAAACCTCCATCTTCCCGCGTAGAAAAATAGGTTTTAAGAACTGGTTCTTTCAGCCAGTGGAGCTGGAACTACTATTCTAAAACAAGCTGCCTTAACTTTTTTAGGGGGGGGG